CTTTCATCCACTTTACATGGGTTATGTTGCACATTATACATTACACATACAATTTATCCACACTCTTTTGTTCTTTACAATTTATTGTACAAATACAATATAAGAAAAAAAATTACATATATTTTATTAAAAATTTCACGTTACAAAACTTTTTTGGTTAATAAATTTATAAGATGATAATGTATTTATTTAAGTAAAAAAAGAAAACATGAACAATAAAACTTTAACAAGAATTTTCGATAGTCATGATATTACATTAATTATCTAATTAGTTTTTAATTTTTGTTCTAATATTATGGTTGTTTAGAGAACATAAAAACACATAATGTAATATGTACACAACATAATTAATTTATGTTTCCATGATTTTATGATGTTTTTGATCATTTTCCATCAGATGTTTTAGATATTTTACTTTGAAAGTGCGAAAATTGCTCGCAGAGGAAATAATATTTGGAAAATTATTAAACGTCTTTATGCTGGTAATTAAGAAAGAGTTGTAGTACGTTTAATTCTATGAATTGAGAGAGAGGGAGAGAGAGAGAGAGAGGAGAGAGAGAGTGGGTGAGAGTGAGAGCAAAAGAGGGCGAGAGTAAGGGAGAGAGAAAAGAAGAATATAGGAGCGATAATAAACAAAAAAGAGAAGGTGGAGTATGATATTGAGAATGGGGAAGTGAGAAACTGGGAAAGAGTAACCGGGAGAAAGAAAGGAAATGAGAAAAAGTGGAGAGGGAGAGAGAGAGAGAGGAGAGAGAGAGTGTGTGAGAGTGAGAGCAAAAGAGGGCGAGAGTAAGGGAGAGAGAAAAGAAGAAAATAGGAGCTATAATAAACAAAAAAGAGAAGGTGGAGTATGATATTGAGAATGGGGAAGTGAGAAACTGGGAAAGAGTAACCGGGAGAAAGAAAGGAAATGAGAAAAAGTGGAGAGGGAGAGAGAGAGAGAGAGAGAGAGAGAGAGAGAGTGAGAGTGAGAGCACAACGAGCACAGCGTATACAAGATTCCTGTACATTTATCTATTTCTTAACCTTAGAATCTAGACTAACAATAAGATGAGATAGGTGACATATTTTTTAGATTTGGTTTGTTATTTACTATTACATATATATTATTCTCATCTTGAATAAATTTATTTAAGAAATATCCGCAGTTTAATTTACTGTGTTCGTTCATAAATCTTTTTAGAGAGCATTCGATTGGGGTGGGGGTTAAAAATGAAGATGCAAAAGAAGATAAGGTTTCTGAAAAGTTGAATCTCTTTCTCTTCAAAATAATACAATGCTTTTTTTCTAAGTTGAAATACCTGAATGCTGTGACATAAACATTACCTGGGCGTATACAACATCCAGTATTCGGTGCAATTAAAGGAGTTGGCTGTGAGAAAGTGCTGCGTTAACATATACATGCGTTATTGGTAATAAATTGAACTGAATTGAAAGAATATGATCTGGCTACTTGACCAAAAAATCGGTTTAATAATTACTCATCAAGAAAGGGTTGACTAAGTGAGGCGATCGCCGCGCTGTGTTTACCAATAAGACCGTCCGCGCCGTGTCAACATCCCGGGTGATAAGCTGTCTTAGCAGCAATATTTTTTTTACAGCGTAGGCATTTTGGACAACTCTTTCTCCCTCGGGGAACAAGGCCTCTTAATGACAAGAAGCCCTTTTTGATGAATGCCAGGGAGGCGGCCGTTAGATTGCCGTCCCTTGTAGCCGGGGTTGCATTAGCCACGGATCGGCTCACGCAGCTTTCAGCATCCCTCTTTTTTCGCGTCAAAGGACGACCGCAGAAGCACGCGTCCCATTTAATAACTCCTCGGACTATTTGTAAATGACGCGTAAAACAACAAGGGGAAGCGCCGTATTAGAGCGGCTTGCAGTCGAGTGTGCCATTTCCGCCGGATAATGAGTTACACCCTATCGCGCTCGTGCTTGCGGTCTTTGCCCAGTACTTCCCCTTTTTAACCTCAATTACGCAATTTCGGCGCCAATTTGACATTTCTTCTGGGTAGCATATTTGTTTGTTTTATTTACAACCTACTAAATAGTCTTTGCTTTCACTTACCAAGAGTTTAGGAGGATGATGTTCATCGATTAATCCGAATTGAGTAATGAATTATGAAGATATAAATATTACACAACAAATTTGATAACTGATTCAGTTTAATGTCTTCAATTTTATTAATCAAACCTACTATCAATTCATATTACCTACATCATCTATCTACACATAGTTGAAGTTGGGTTGTCCCCGATCAAATTTCCAGTAAAGATTGTAGAATTACTAATCTCGTCTGATAGACCAAATAACCGAGGAAGTCAGACCAAGTCGGTCGAAAACGACCTAACTTCAGATATGAGTGTTAGATATCCAATTTAAAGAACACATATATGTTGATTTGCAAACAACGATCCATTCAAATCGCCATTTGGTAGCTTTTAGAAGAAAATATTTTCTACACTGAAATCCTAATAGAAACTGAATATTAGATTTCACCTTGAGGTCTGCCTGTAGTTCAGGCGTTTAGTTATAGCTGGTCTTTCTATTCTCATATCCCGCTATGTACAAATCAAATTATTTTAACTCAATCTAATTTGTAGTGTGTTTAGTGACCGTTAGTTAATGATTGATTATTCATAGATTCAGACCGCATCTCACGATCTTCTAATAATCACTAATTTGTAGTGATATCCATCCTACTTAACACTGAAACATTTCATATTCAAGCTACAGGTCAATTATAAACAATCCAAGAACCCCCTAACAAACTTTAGAAGGAAAGAGATAACAGAATGTATTAAAGGAAACAGGAAAAAACTGCGAATCTTAACAGCATTCTTAACAAGACATCTAAAGATTCTAACCCTACATGGCACGTGCAGATTCTGCAAAGAAGCAGGGGACACCACACACCTACTAGCGATAGGGATAAGAGAGGCGGCCACAAGGCCTACTGCACCTCGACCTAAAAAGATCTATTGTGTTCCTTTATTAATCAGCCTCCACAGTTTTGCCAGTGGTCCCTTGGTGTAGGATGCTTGTGGTTTTTCTTGTCCTAGTTGCAAGAACCTGACACACCTACTAACAAACTGTTGCTACACTTGCAGGTGGAAGTATTCTGAGGCATACAAAGCAACCGTAGAAGAGATTCAACCACTGTAACCGAGCCTATCAATCAAATTTCTTGATGAAGTAGGACATACCGGTGTGCTTTAAGCACAGAACGAGGGATACAATAGCTCGTAAAGGGCGCAGCATAATACACACCCTGACTATCATCTATCTATCTATGCACAGCCCAATTAATTTCTCAAACATGAAGATGGGTATACCAGAATGTTTGGAGATGTACAAACTAGGAAGACTGTTGAACCAAGATCAGAAGAGAGATAATAGTAAAGAAATTGGTTAGACCTATTGAGCCAGTCAAAAATAATCTTAAATGGTTTAAAATCATATCAATTATGTGGTTCATTAGCGTGCAGATCTTAAGTTGAAATCTGCCAAAGGTTTTACAAATAATTATAGTTGTTCATCCTGACAAGAACGTTGAAAAAAATACGTTTACAACCCTCTGGATCGGTTAGGGGTTTGGTATTGGCCGGAAGCTTATTACAGGACAATTACGTTCCGACGATCAATGAAGCTGTGGGCACGGTCGAATTCTCCTTCCGGTCAGCCTTCGAGGAGGCACGGTTCCTTGCCGTGTTTCTTTTCGTTCGGAAGTGATTTCCCCTTCCGGTGAAAATCACTTCCGACCACTTTTGAAAAAGGCGCGTGTCGCGAAATGACGCATGAACGCCAACGGTTATTTTTTGAAGTCCTCCTTGGGTAATTAGTCGGAGTCCATTAGAAGCTAATGCTCCAACATCAATCCGGGATCGTCGGGAGATCGAGTAGGGCGCCTTAAGTGCCGGTAATTGATCACCACCCCGGAGAATCAAAGGGCGATATCCTTTCAAGGATACTGACAATAATGAATCAAAGGGTCGGCCCTCGCCACGCATCTATCTTAACCACTGTCTCCATTTCCTGTTCCTTTACACCAACCCCAATCCACGCCCCCTTGTTTAACCCGGGACGATCAATTATTCAGGAGCAACACCTAAATCATTAATCTGGAGTGGGCCGAGGACGCCCTTTCGGGTCTTTGGATCAATGGCGGGCTTCGTGAAGAAACAGTGATTCCAGTATCGACCGCCTCCAAAGGCGTTTTGAATCGTAAACCTGTCAAGATAAAAATAAAATTCAACTTGGCCTAGGAATTAGTCATTTGTCCTGCATTTACAAGGTTTTTTAGTTCTTCACTCTACAGGCTGTCTTGAGTTTACGTTTCACTCTCACATTTCACCAAATGGATTCAAGCATGATGGGAAGCCTAAACATCGATCTTTGATGCATATTCTGGCCTTTAGAACAGAAATGTATACATTGATACAAAAGTTTAGTTGACTTTTGCTTATCGATGTACCTCCAGCTGGTTAAGGCACAATAAAACTATTATTACAGTGAATTATTTGTCTGATCGGGGAAAATAGTAGACCAAAACGGCAGCTATACGTAGCCTTAAATGTTAAGGTTCTAATTGAATGGCTGACTTGTCATACAACAATAAATGGTGAGAATAATTTAACAGATCATAAAAAATGGGAAATTTTAATAATCTACTTATTCGTCTTTATTCATGTCGCTTGAAACACTGCTTGCAACATTAGCATTTAATGAGGGACTTAACGTGTAAAATAAAGTTTTAAGCAGGTCATTGAAAACATACTAATCCATGCATTTCAGTATATACAGTTTTTATTAGCATTCCAAAACATACAGCAGGATTTCACTTCAACAGGATTTAACTAATTATACACAATTTTATGTTCAATTTTATATCAACGCACTAGACTTTTAAAGCATAAACCATTTTATTGCAAGACTTTTTTTTGTATTTTCTCAATTGAACATTATTATTTGTGTAAGAATTTGGTCATTCTTTACGTTTCAGGTCAGAGTAGCTGAGAACAGGGGTTTTCTCGACGGCACCCTCGAGTTTTCAAATTGGCTCAAATACATCCGAAGCACAAATAAGCCCGAGGAGACGAACGCAAGGGCTTTGCTCGTCGCTGGTCAGGTATGTAAATTCGACATTCATCTGTCACAGCCAAGGTTCAAGATTATTAGATGCGGTTTTACTACTAAACCTGTGTTCTGTGGAAGGCAAAATGGACACCGGCCTGCTGCAGGGGACGTAGAAAAATGGAAGAAGACCGACGATTCTCCCAGCCTTTTTATTCCACCGCGTAAAATTCTATATATTTTTGGTTATAAACACTTAAGAATCACGTGTCGAAAATTAGCTTATTTTAAAGGATTGACCTACAAATTTGGACAAATTACAGCGTTCCTTTTTCCATCCGGTCTCATTTTTTCAGAAAACGAACCACGCGATCCTTTCATTTGTCCCTTTTCTAGCAATTCGTAAAGATTTTGTTTATTTTTCTTGTTGTACATATTTTATTCACAATTGTGTGTAACTATGTGTTTTTTACCTCTGTAAGTACTTTTATTTTATTTTATCTTAATTATTTTTAGACTTGCCTGCTATTTTGTTTATTATTTTGATTTGATTTGCTCGATTTGGTGAAGTCGTAAAGTTTGGGGAGTAGATGTTTGGAGGGCGAGAAAAATTTATAACTCATTTCTTTTGTCTTTTCCAGGTCTATTACGAAATTCTCATAGAAATCAAAGCTGGTGAAGAGATCATCCTCGGACCCAAAGAGCCACTGCGGCCAGAGACAAAAGAGGAACCGAGAACTGGTAAGTGAATAACATTGTTCTATTTTCGTACAATTAACTTTTAATTCCATTTCCGTGTTCTAAAAAATAAATTAATTATGAATTTAAAAATATCAACAAACTTGATTTTGGTCCGCCTGTTCTTGCGGTAAAAACGGTGTACGAAGCACTTACCATTTAAATATTGTTAACATCTTTTTTTAAAGACATTTTTAAAACTTTTTTTTTAAATTACGTGAGATTATTTCTGGAACATTTGCCGTCCAGATTACTTAAATTATTTAATTTACTCTTTTCTGATCATTTTGGTTTGCCTTCGCAGAAATGCCTCGACAGATTTCTTTCTGATTCGCGTCATCTTCAGTGCTGTGTGATTTCTCGTTATTGATATCACACTTGCCCGATGATAGTGAAAAACCAAAATAATATTAAACGATCTAATTACTCTACAACTTTCATCATTCCACAGCCCCCAAAAGAAATCTTACTATCTATGTTTTCCTTTGATGAATTTTGGATAGGTATTCTATTTGTATCTATTTATTTCAATCTCAATTTTTGTACTTTATAGAAGGAGCAACAGGTAAAGTTCGACTTTATAACGTATTTAAAGCGTTTGACGAACACGTGTGTCATAAAATCAGTACATTACACTCGCGAAATCCGAAGAAAAGCTTTAGTTGAGCTTAATAAGGAAGCAATTGCTATTAAGTGAAATTGTGTACTTGCTCGAAAGAGGAACGTTCTGCTCTTAACAACGGCGAACGGTAAAATAGTATCCATCTCAAATTTATTGGAATTTGTAAAATCGTAAACTTTACCGCCTCTCCATTTACGAGTCTTTCTCCGCCGGATCGATTTTTACCCTTAATTAACACCCCGGCCCCGGGGGCCGTAAAATCCCTGGGCCCGGTTCGAATTAATATCGGAGCCATTACAATTATAAAGCAGGGCCCTGGAACGCCGGGGCTTTAATTATGAATGTCCCCGGGTGTCATGCAGAATGTCCACAATTAGAAGGGCTCCTCGTAAAGTTCTCGTAAAGATGTTCGCCACCCTCTCGGCACGTCCCCGCCATAACCGACATCCGCGCCCTTGCTTTATCTTTAAACGTGATTATTTTTTTAATTTCTAGCTTTTGTATTTAAATTTCTTGAACTTCTTATTTAGACCATTCCGAGCCGTCGGTGGATCGTTAAGCTCACCTTTACTCACTCTAACCCTTAAAATCCTTAGTCGCACGGAATTCAAGTTAATGCTGCTTGTACGCTTCTGAAAACATTTCGCGTCTTTGATCATAATAATTTCTAAATCATGCGCACTCATGTTATTTAACAACATTCCAATTAACTTCAAACGATATGTATTTTGAAGTGAATTAATACATTTATTACATCTTTATAACAAGTATATAGGACGATAATTTTGACTATTCTCGGAATTTTGTCCTGACAGACTTAGACTTTCTGCCATCTTCAGTAGTGGATTTGTAGACGAAAGTTAGAATTAAACCAACCAAAAGCCGAAAATCGTCCGATACCAAGAACTGCGAAAATAGATAGTTAGAGAAAGGATAGTTCTGCCAAAAAGCAGCTTACTGCAGTAATTCAGCTAAGGATGTAAAATATACTAAATTTAAATATTCATAGTTCGCAAAAAAATTAATATAAAACAAAACTTGGTTCTGTTACTGAGTTATATCCTCCGCCATATTCATCACGAGTAAGTCTACATATCTTTATTATTTTATTTTAATTTTTTTTTTTTTCAATTGGAAAGGATTTCAAGGATTTCGTCTTCAAAAATATACGCGATCAAAAGATGTTTTTGCGAACTTCAATTTTAGTATGTTTTAGAGACTACACTGCCTATTACAAAAATTAAAAAAAAAATTGAAATTCTTATTTTCTCAGCCTATTAAGTTACAGACTTAACGCTAAGTTTAATTTTTTAGAGACTTTTACTTGTCTTTTTTAAATGTTAGCTTCAGATATTCATCAAAAATTCAAAATTCCTGGGACATGTTAATATTGGCACTTTTTACGAAAAATTCAAATTGTCTGTGGCCTCAGACCTCAGGAAATCGAAAATTCTACCATATATGAACCTGTTGTTCCAGTGGTTAGAGATGGTTATTGCTCCAATACTCTATTGGAAGCCAAACCGCCACAAAATCTGTGAAATGTAAAGGAAAAGTTAAATTTCCGTAATGAGGTAGACAACTGGTAATCGACAGCAGAAGCATTCCACTGTCAAATGTCAAAGATTAAGGTAAGAAAAAGTACGAATTGTCGCTTCCCTGTTCACTTTTTTGAAAAAATCCTCGGAACAAAAGCTGTAGAGCGTAAAATTTGCGAAAACACGGCGGTTCAAAGTTTATTTAATCTTGAAAATCGGGAGAGAGAGTGATCGGCTTTTTTTCAAAAACCACGTTTTGCCTAAAAATTGCGAATAATTAATTCTTCAACGGTTGAAAAATCGGGCAAAGTGGAAAGTGACTAATTGAAAGTTGATTAAAATTTCCTACCGATTGATATAGGGCTCCGTTTCAGGACGATTTGCTGGTGCCACAGCTCAGTTTCCAAAAAAGTGCAAAAATTTTTGAATTTACTGATGAATGACTGAAACTAGGAAAACATTTCAAAAAGACATATCTTGTTCAGCGTAAAATTTTCTAAAATTTGAGACCTAGAGCAAGTCGGTGACTTAAAAGGCTGAGAAAATATGATTTCCAAATTTTGTCATTTCTTCTTATAGAAAACGAGGTGGTGGTTTTTTAATTGGCAGTGTAAGTCTCTAAAAACAGACTAAATTGAATCATACGAAGTTCGGAAAAAAATTGGTTTATTGCTTGAGCTAGGCCACGGGTCGGCAACCTGCGGCCCTTTGCAACTTTTTGCGCGGCCCGCCAAAGCCCAATATAATTTTAGGAAAAATCAACAATCTTAGAGCGTGAGCGTGCCGAAATGTGGCCAGTGACAAAAATGCGCGCTAACAGAAGCAAAGTGGGAAACCTATTTTACTGCGCAAGTTTAATCCCCACTTCCCATAATAATATTTATACTCGTATATGATATAAAAGCATTATTTAAGTTACCTTTGGATGTGCGGCCCGCATAAAAAATTTTATTTTGAAAATGGCCCGCCGTCCGAAAAAGGTTGCTGACCCCTGAGCTAGACTATCAGCCTTCACTCATCACGCGTGAACAATTAACATATTATAATTATCAAATATTCAAAGTTCACAAAAAATAAATACTTACTTCATTTACTTGAGTTAAACCATCGACTATTATTTTTCACGAGCAAATCCTCGTATATTAATTATTAAGGTGACTTGTTGTCTATTTTTACTTTAAAAGACTTCTTCCAAAATGCAAGTAAGCCTCTAAAACACACTAAATTCAAACACACAAAGTTTGCAACAAATTAAACATTTGGTTTTGTTGCGTGAGTTAGACCATGTTTTTATTCTTCATGAGTAAGTCTAAATATTTCAACTATTAAAGCAACTTTAATATTATTATTTTTTAAATAAAAAATACATCGAGAAAATACAGCTAAGGCCCTAAACACACTAAATTCAAACTTTTAAAGCTGGCCATTAAACAATTTGCATCTGTTGAATCATTGTTTTTATAGTCTTTATAAAGAGTTATTAAAATAGTTAGTGAATAATGATCAATGAATTATTATGAGACATTGTCCACATGTGCTTCTAACAATTTTAAATGTTTTGAGTGTCAAAGTTGATCTGTTTATTTATTATTTTTCGACGTTTGTACTAAATAACCTTTCGAAAATAGATGTATATTTACCTTTTAGCGACAAGTTTTAAAATATATTTTTGAAATTCGCGAGTATTCTTTTGTAAATACGCTGAGATAACTAAGGTGAAACAGTGATTTGTCTCAATAGGTGCAGGTCATAAAACCAAGTTTTAAGTTTTAATTAAACCCCGCCCCCGCCGGCTTAATGGACGATCGCCCAGAGGGGTGGAAGAGTTGATATAGTCAAATCTGTGACAGCCGAGGGGGTGACGTTTATAACTTGATAAATGTCCGGCGCGCAAGGAAGGAATCATTTACAAAAGGGGTAAATAACAATAAACAGGGTGCAAAACAAGCTGGCCTCCGGCGGGGGGCTGGGGTTGGGGTAAAAAAACCATTTAGACCCGATCACAATGCGCATTGTGACGTCTCCCCGATGATGTCTTCATCACGCCCACCGCAGATGCATTCAGGGGAATTAGCCTAGCGGAAAATACGTTTGACTCCGCAACACCAAAGCGTGCATGGTGAATGGGCTTTGATTACGCTATTATTCTTCATATACATAGATAAGAGTATTTAAATTTTTGATCGATAATATACTTAAAAGATAAAAAACGTATGCAATCCCTAAGCACATATATGGGATGGAAACCAATGCAAAGCAGCATATGTTTATGAAATCTGAATTTAAAAAAAAAATAATTCGCTGTCACGCTGCAATAAAAAAATCATGATGCGTTTCTGCTCTTCCGTGTACGTTAAAAAATTGATATTCGTCATAAATATGTGGTTTTTAATGACCGTTAGTCAATGATTATTTGGAGATCGTGAGATGCGGTCTGGCGTGACGTAGGTTTTTACAAAAACAATTTCTTTATCGTGTCAACGTTTCGATCTTTATTGAGATCATCTTCAGGGCCTGGGATTTATAAACATCTACACAGAAAACAAACACTCTGAGTGAGTACAAATACTTTGATTGAATCTAAAATTAAATTAATTTAAACAATGTTTATATATCTCAGGCCCTGAAGATGATCTCAATAAAGATCGAAACGTTGACACGATAAAGAAATTGTTTTTCTAAAAACCTACGTCACACCAGACCGCATCTCAGGATCTCCAAATAATCATTCATCGTAAAATAGAATGAGGCAAAAAATTGTGTGTAATACGCCTAAAAGAAAACAACAGAAATGGGATTTATCCAAAAATTGCGACATACTTCAAAATAATTCATAAGCCTGT